TTCTGTCTTTTATTGGAACACAGACTCTATAATATAACTCGAATCTTTGCTTCACCGCACTCTCACTCTCACACACTCCCACTCCACTCAACACCAGAGAGAGAGAAAGAGAGATTTGAGGAAGAACATGGCTCAACGAAGCCCTAAATTTCCCCAATGGGCGTCGCTTATTTTGCTTGTTTTTGCGCATTTGGCCTCTCAAATCGTAGCTGAAGAAGATGGTACGTTACGTTTTCCTCTGTTTTTACCTTCCCTTGCTTCTCCCTCTGTTTTAATTTCTATACCTGCACATAAGATCTGATTCACTGATTTTATTATACATTTTGAACGATGTTCTGTTTGCTTCAATTTCACATTCGTGTTTTATTTCGGTAGCTTCTTGAGAAGAACAGTAATCTGTAGTTAGGGCTGCTTTTGGATGAAGGGTTCGATTTTTTTTTCAAACTGATAATGGTGTTAAGAGCATTAAAAATGAAAACCCCAAATCTACATGGTGGATTGGATTCCATTATTCTGTATAGTAGCGGAGCGGCCACTTTTTGCTGTTTGTTTACGAACCCTATGAACAATTTAGCCGAAATAGAAAGGGCATTAATGGCGAACAAACGCCACATTGCCGCAAAATCGCCTCCACAGTGGGCGGCCATACCGGTGGTTACTATATTTGTGAAAGGGATGAATCGTCGTTTCGATCTGACTCTTTCACGGAATCTCACTGCCTCACACTACTGTGGCGCAGAGATAACCGATTATCAGACCCATCCCTTTACTCAAGAAAAAAAATAAAAATAAAAATAAAAAAATTAAATTTATCCCACCTTAAACTTTTTGGTTAATTTTTGGTTAAGTGTTAGTTTATTAAGTATCAGTAGCGTTAAGATTGTATATTCGAACTCTTGCGACTTAAGTTTTTGAGGAACACTAAAAATGCACCAAGGTTAAAATGTAATTAAAAACTCTTTATTTAAATTATCTAAACAATTTTCTATTTCTATATAAATTTGAAATAATTAATATTAATATTATACATATATTAATGATATTTTATTGATATTTTTCATGTTTTATTGATATTTTTTGTCATGTGATGTAAATGTCGATGTATCTTTTACGTCTATGTTGAATCTATGAATATGTGGAAATATCAATGCCGAACTTATAAATTCATGAAAATGTTATTTAATGTCACGATTGAATTATTTAGATAATTTATTAGACTTTTCTTTTTAGGCAATTTATTAAAGTTTCATCGAGTTGTGTAATTATGCTCATCTAGTGATAAAACTTTCGAGCCTTGCCTATGGTCCTACGAGATTTTATTTTATCTTTTTCTTCTTTTTATGGTGATAAATTTACCAGAATGGTCACCTTCACACCAATGCTCTTGTCGCTTTTTTCTCAATCTGACAAAAAAGGACTTCACCCTTTCAGTAAGAGGAGAATTGATCCCGAGTGATTTTCGTCATTTCATCTTGTTTATCCCGAATTTCCCGGTGGTGGGACACACCTTTATTTTTTTGTGTTATTTTGATTCATACTTTCTTTCATTTTGTTCTCTTTCTTCTTCTTTGTATTTTGATTTATTTTAATTCTTATATTTTTAAAAAGTTCAACTTGTCTATGTAATTTTAAATAGTCACTATTTTTATTTCTGTTTACAAAATTTTAACATAAATAATATACACTCTCCAAACCATTTAATGTAAAATCACTACTTGTATTGAAATTGTGCTAAAAAAAGAATATAAAATTAAGGAACAAATTAAGAACTAAAACGACAGACCAGAAATTGAAATTAAAAGATCCAAAAGTAGATATTTTAAAAATATAGAGAGAAAAATAACGCTAAAATAGTATTATATATATATATATATAAAAAAAAATTTTCTCGTTTGATAACAAAGTGAGGAAATGAGTTGGACCAGTAGAGAGGGTTGGGCCCCACGCGCTAACGTACATATACTCTTGTCGTATTGAAGTGGGGAGTAGCCCTTCAATTCCGTATACGGGCTCCCTTACTTTTTCACATGATAATATGTATATTTTTAAAATAATTGGTCAGGACTGGTGGCGAACGGCGATTTCGAGACGATCCCAGCTGGTGGGTTCCCAAGCGAAGGAATGGGGGATGCCCCCGCGGCGATTCCGAGCTGGAAATCAAACGGCACCGTTGAGCTCGTGGAGTCCGGGCAAAAACAGGGTGGGATGATCCTCATCGT